TATGCCTGGCTTTGATCACTGTATTTATTCTGCTCACTAAGAGTAAAGTGTTATTTAGTAAACTAATTTTTCATCTCCCCACGGCCAACATTTGATTTCTGTGGCACATTTTGGGGACTGCAGCAGCCTCGCTAATCCCTGGCCCAGCTGTGGGCTGCTGGTGCCACCTGGAGTACAACAGCTGCACCCAAAACCTCCCAAATCCCAAACACTGGAGCACACAGCCTGCAAAAATCTCTTTGGATCTCATTCCCCAAAGTCTGGACACTCCAAAAGCTCAGCACAGGGAGCCAAGCTGAGCTGGTCACGAGAGCTCGGAGCTGCAGGCACCGGAAAGCTCAGCCCAGGAAGGGACAGCAAAAGCCACCAAATGCTTTTAAAAACCTCAACTGGAAGTTGGTGAGCATTTGAAAAGCCCAGCTTTCAGTATTTTTCTGAAATCAGCCTCTTGTTTGCCCAAATACACCAAGAAACACAGACTAAAGCACATTTTTAGCTCGACTACGAAGTCAAAGCACAACAAAAAGTGGCTGCTGAAGCAGCCCAGGCTATTTTGGACATGAGCTGTGTCCTAATACACCCCTTGCCTTTGGATACAAGTAAATCAGAGGTATCCTGGACACCCTGGGGCTAAATTGTAGACCAGGAAAGACAGAACAATCCAAGAGGACTGCAGCAAAACTGTCCCTGTGGGAGCAGAGAAGACACAACAGAATAATTTATCCAATGTCAGGGGGGTCAGTCTTTGGCATCAGTAACCAACCCATCCCCATATCCAGAAATACATGGGAGGAACAGAGTAAGGAATCAGAGAATTCCAGAATGGTTTCTGTTGGAGGGACCTTAAAGACCACCCAGTCCCACCCCTGCCATGGGCAGGGACACCTTCCACCAGCTCAGGTTGCTCCAAGCCCCGTCCAACCTGGCCTTGGACACTTCCAGGGGTCCAGAGGCAGCCACAGCTTCTCTGGGCAACCTGTGCCAGGGCCCACCACCCTCCCAGGGAACAATTCCTTCCCAATATCTCATCTAAAACTACTTTTCCAGTTTGAAGCCATTGCCCTTGGAATCTCCTGAGCAAACATTCAGCTCTTCAGGGTGCTGAGTTGGTTTTTTCCATGTCACTCCTGCACATTTAAGAGAAGCACCTCAGGTAGGACCTGCAGCTCTGCCAAACACACCTCTGAGGTGACAGAGGTGCTGGAAGGGGCTGGCACTGTGCAACACCAGGGTTGGGCTCCAAATCCTTCAGGAAGTCAGTGCAGTGAAGCAACAACTCTCCCAGCTGCCAGGCTGCACTCCTGTGCTC